CTCTCTGTGTGTGTGTGTGTGTGTGTGTGTGTGTCTGTGTGTGTGTGCTTCTGGCAGCTCGATCAGAGAAGAAGAAGAGAAGAAGAAAAGAAGAAGAAGAGAAGAAGAAGAGAAGAAGAAGAAGAGAAGGAGAAGACAAGAAGAAGAAGAAGAAGAATAGTGGAAACAGTGGCCAACTGCCTTACGTACACGCTTCGCATGCTCATCAATACATAGCAGCGCATACTCATCTCAGCTCACGCGCACATTCCCCAAGAAGACGAAGAAGAAGAAGAAGAAGGGACAGTGATCGTGATGAAGATGAAGATAAAGATGATGATGCGGGACTGCCCTCTTGTCGCCGGAGTAGAAAAGGTGGGAACCAGACAATAATGAGAAAAAGACGAAGAGGAGAAGAAGAGGAGAAGAAGAGGAGAAGAAGAGGAGAAGAGGAGGAGGAGGAGGAGGAGGAGATAATGATGGTGACGTTGACGTACTTACCTCGTCGCTGTTCGGCGTGGCAGGCAAGCGGGCGCGCTGCGAGGCGATGGCGGGCGATTGTAGAGGAGACAAGAGGCGATGGCGATTGTAGACGACGAGGACGTGGGGCGAACGTGGAACGACGTGGGATATAGACGTGGGAGGACGTGGGGACTACCACACGGTGATGACCACACAGCCTCCATCAATTCCTCTTTTTCTCTTTTCCTTTCTTTGTTCTTTCCTTCCCTGATCTAATTCCAGGCGAGAGGGGAAGGCCAAACATGAGAAAACAAATCCATGCGGGGGGTTCGACACGCATACACAAAAGAATTCGAATTCGAATGTCGAATGGTGTCCACCCGCCCGCCTTCAGCTGTGTGCAATCAATCGTCCATCGTCCCCAACGTGGGCGGTCGATCTTTTTTCTTTTTTTTTCATCAAAAGGGGCCCTTATAGGGCTCAAAAAGGAAGGAGGCTGGGGACCTCACAATTCAACCCGGAATATAGGTGTGGGGAATATCTAGGCACAGAAAAGTCCAAATCTAGACCACTGTCCGGGGGCAAGTTCCCACTTGCACGGATTACGAGATTCTGACTGTTGATTTATGCTATCTACGGTCAATATCTCTTAATTCGTGTAAGTGGGACCTAGCCCCGGAACCCCCATTACTAGCAAACAGCTAGCACAAGCCCTGAAAGCCAAACAATCCCACAAAGACTAAGCACAAGCTTAGAATCCACCTCTAGAAACTATCCTATCTTCTGAAGTGACAGCAACAGGCCAAAATCCGTGAAAAATAACACAGGAGCCCTAGTATTGGCAGCCCACAGGGACGGGGGCACGGATGGGCAGCCCAGATGTCGTTTGTCATGTTCGCAGCCCGTTAGGGTTGCGTTTTATGCCCCTGAGACATTTTTCGTCGTCGTTCTTTATACCGGTCGTTCATTCGGGCCCATTGGTCGTTGAAAGGCTGGTAAAATGAAAGGCACGGGCATTTAGGGGGGGGCGGCAGTTCAAGCAAATGCAGGACCGGTATTTGCCTGT